CACGGAGGTAGATCTCTATGATCCTGCATTGCTGCGCAATGAGAATTACGATGGGTCTACCCCGCTAGCTATTCCCAAATTGAACCTACAATACCTCAGCACTGGCGACTTCCTTTGGCGTTCATTCCTTCTATACCGCTCCGAGGCTTTCTTCCAGATCCGGAAAGATATGGAGTCAGTCATCAAGCGGATGCAGCCCCGCGCAAGTCGTGATGGTAAGACTGTGACATTTGATGGTTTTTCGCGGATGGCTATCCCGATCACGAAGCCCGCTATAATTGAAGTCGCTCCCCCCAAGGTCGGTTCCGCCAAGCCTGCTTTTGTTAGAGCTGAAATCGCCATCGAGGTGGGCAGGTTAGCAGACCACATTCGCAGGGAATGGGACTCTCTGCGTCCAGATGATGTCATTTTCCTCTTGGCCGTGCAGTCGGATGGTGCCGCGAAGTCTGGACTTCGCGAGTCTGAAGCTCCCGGGCTGACACACCTTCGAACCGCAGAGATAGTTCAGGTGCTAGACGAAAATGGTCGTCCCTTACGAGATTTCTCTTCCGGCCAGTCGAATGGCTACAAACACAAACCTCGTGTCCGGAAGCTGTTGGTCAATCTGGACCCCGCTGCTTTCAAGGCAGACAGAGATGCACTTGCCCGAGGAAAGCCGGATATTTATTCGTCAATCAACGTGGTTGCCCGGAGGAAGGGAAGAGAGAACAACTTCAAATCGATCCTCGATACTATGCAGAAATTGATCGTCTCCGATATCGCTCTGCCATCCTGGATTCAGGATATTTTCTTGGGCTATGGGGACCCGGCCGGAGCTCGATACACCGAATTGCCCAATCGACTCAAGTCGGTCGATTTCCGAGACACATTTTTGGATTGGCAACATCTGATCGAAAGCTTCCCCGGGAGGACCATCGAGCCCTCGACCAGCGAAACGTCCAGTTTCGGTCCTCCGTACGTATTGGAATATGTTGAAGAACCTTCTCAGACCCCGTCAGTGGGCACGAAGAGACGACGCAAAGATCAGTCGGAAAAGGCATCAGGTCCCAAGTCACTGCGCGTTTCCACATACAAACCGCCACACCCAGGCCCCTATCCGATCGATGCCCCCAAATTGAACACAGTGCGCTTCACTCCGGCGCAGGTTGAGGCTATCACGTCAGGGACCCAACCTGGGTTGACTGTCATTGTCGGCCCTCCTGGCACTGGCAAGACTGATGTCGCCACGCAAATCATCAACAACATCTACCACGACTTCCCTAATGAGCGTACACTCCTGATCGCGCACAGCAACCAAGCACTGAATCAGCTCTTCCAAAAGATTGTGGCTCTTGACATTGACGAACGTCATCTTCTCCGTCTTGGTCATGGTGAGGAAGAGCTAGAAACCGACTCTAACTACAGCAAGTACGGCCGAGTTGAGTCGTTCCTTGAAAATCGCAATTTCTTCCTCAGTGAGGTTACTCGACTGGCTGCATCAATCGAAGCTCAAGGGGCCCATGGGAACTCCTGCGAAACTGCGGGTTATTTCAACACAGTCTACGTTCAACCTGCTTGGGCCAAGTTCTGGGATCACGCGCGTGCCGAGAATGTCTCCAACGAGGAAGTCGTCGCAGCTTTCCCTTTCCATGATTATTTCTCAAACGCACCGCAGCCCGTTTTTGAACCTACCGCACCAAAAGAGACTGTGCTTGATGTAGCGAAGGGCTGCCAGCGGCACATCGAAAAGATCTTCTCTGAGCTAGAAGATATCCGGCCGTTTGAGATTCTACGTCAGCAGAAGGACAAGGCCAACTATCTCCTTGTGAAGGAGGCGCGGATAATTGCCATGACATCGACGCATGCAGCGATGCGCCGTCAGGAGATTGCTGATCTAGGATTCCACTACGATAATGTCATTATGGAAGAAGCTGCACAAATTACAGAGATTGAATGTTTCATTCCCACTGCACTGCAGAACATGAAGAATGGTGAACTTCCTCTCAAGCGCGTGGTTCTCTGTGGTGATCATTTGCAAAACTCGCCCATTATTCAGAACATGGCCTTCCGGCAATACGCACATTTTGAACAGAGTCTTTTCCTGCGGCTGGTGAGACTGGGTGTTCCTGTTATCACACTCGATCAACAGGGCCGTTCCAGACCGAGTATCGCGGAGCTCTTCCAATGGCGCTACAAACAGCTTGGTAATCTTCCCACAGTCGAGACGGTGGAAGAGTACAAACGGGCAAATGCTGGTTTCCAATTTGACTACCAATTCATCAACGTCCCTGACTATCAAGGCAACGGGGAACGAGAACCCACGCCACATTTCATCCAGAACCTGGGCGAGGCTGAGTATGCCGTCGCCATCTATCAATACATGCGTCTTCTTGGATATCCTGCGTCGAAGATTTCAATCCTTGCAACGTACGCCGGTCAAACGGCCTTGATCAAGGATGTCTTGAGCCACCGCTGTGCCAAGAACGGATTGTTCGGCATGCCTAAGATTGTTACTACTGTCGACAAATACCAGGGTGAACAGAACGACTGTAAGTCATCCTATTGTTGATATGACTTTTATTGGGAGCTATACTAATCCAGATCTTGTAGACGTCATTCTTTCCCTTACGCGGACGCGTACCGTGGGATATCTCCGCGATGTCCGTCGTCTGACCGTTGCGCTCTCTCGCGCCCGGCTGGGACTATACATCCTCGGTCGTCGTGAAGTATTCGAATCATGTTACGAGCTGAAGCCGGCGTTCGACCTTCTGTTCCAGCGTCCGGATAAGCTCATGCTTGCACCGGGGGAGATGTTTCCCTCTGCCCGCTCGCAGGATGACGAAGTTCAAGGCACTCCCATGGAGAGCGTCGAGCATCTCGGGCAGTACGTGTTCGAAATGACCCAGGCTAAGCTCAAGGCGATGGGCGAAGACAACATCGCCATCGACAATGAAGTGCAGGTCGCCGACGAGGATCAGGTGGTCGACGAAGATGAGGTCATGATGGGTACCGGCGAAGACATGGATGACGACCCTCTGCACGAACATACCCTTACCGGCGTTTGAAATGATTTGAATCAGTCGGCAACCTACGATTCTGCAATCTACCTACCTACTTTCCCCCCCACCCCATCCATGTACGTCTCTTTATGTATGCCTCTCTTTAACTACTAGTACCCTGGTTCTATTGGGAAGCGAATTTATGAACATGTGAAGGACTGGGCGCTTCCATCAGACGCCGCCACAGTCATGACAAAGTCTTCTTATTTCTATCAACTTTCCTGCTGTACATATGCGCTCAGTAAGACTGTGGCTTGATGCCCGAGAAGAAATTCTGCAGACAGCTTGAAGCCTGCGGTCCCAACATATATACTGTACATCTATGCAGCTACAGTCTCTAACTCGTGTCTCTTGCCTTTTTTTTCTACAGAGGTACGAGTCGTGTCTCCGACGATCCGACTCATCACCTTCACCAAAGTACCCTCAAAAGAAAGAGCCCACTTAAGCCTCGCTCTTTGACGAGGACTGCTGCTCCTCTGCCATCTCTTCGACGATATTCTGCGGGTCCTTCCATGCAAGGGCGACGAACCTGATCGAGAGTTCATTAATTAGCCCAAGCCCCTTCCTCCATATTTGTACAAATCAAGAATCGAGAGAGGGGAGTTGAGAAGGTGCATACTTAGTGTGACTACCCCGCGCAAAGACATCGCCCTTCTCGTTGAGGAATTTGATCGAGGTGTAGGCCAGAGTTTTGCCGACTGCGTTTACCGAAATTAGATTCCGTGAGATATACCACGAATGTGCTGCATTCGGAGGGGGACTGTCAACGACAGCAAGCAGGTAGGACCTACATTTATCACATTTGACCTCCTGGATATGGCGGAATCAGCATTGACTCATATTCTGGTATCGTATCCAGACCATGGAGCTAGGTCCAACGCAGGCAGGGACAGGTCCCCCGGACTGTGGGGGGGTTACATACCGCCAGAATCTTGTCTCCAACTTTACCCCCGGAGCTGAGATAGGTCACTCATATGGCAGACGAGTTAGCAATTAGTGACTTGGTTATTTGGGGGCTTTCTACTCACCATTGAGATCGGTCGATACACCCGTAGCGAAGAGACCGCGGGAGGCTACCGCGAGGGAACCGCCTAGGTCCACTGGAGACAATTTGAGTTTCAAGTTTCAAGAGCAAGAAGCCAGCACACGTTGGGTTACGTACCCATGCTGGCGATGGTCCCGCCATGGAGGATTTGCAAGCGGTTCTGGGTTGCGGATGTTAGGGGACTTGTATTTCGGCGACGCGACTGGACTTGATGCTAACACGTGGAGAAACGGCTCGCTTACTGTGTGCTCTTTCTTGATGTCGAGTTCAAAGTTGACTCTGCCGGGTCGGGCGGCTGTTACGCGGAGCTGTGGAGTTTCACAGGTGTTGTTAGTTGTTGATGCGATGTCTTGGTTGGGAAGTTGATAGGCCGGAGAGGCCATGGGGGAAGTATATGTATCTACTTCATGCAACTGCGCATGTAGAGGGCATGAGCTGCAAATGGATTGAAGGACGGCTTACACCATCTAATAGACTTGAAGCACCACGATCGTTGGGTTGTCAATGGCCAGGTACTCATGGATGATGCAGAAATGCCGTTTGTATTGACTTACCGAGGCTCCAGCCCCGAATTGGCCCGAAAGGACTCCCAGACCTGTGGAGGAACAGTTAGTATAGTAAATGTTGAATATGGAGTAAGATCCCAGTCACTTACAGATCTGACAAAGCGCAAGGAGGTCATGGTAAATTCGAGTCGAACCAGTGCAATTGAGTCGAGTTGCGGAGATATATGAATATATGAGCTAAGTCACTACGGAGTATAGACGGGCGGGACGGGTAGATGTCGGAAAGGCGAAGGTAAGCAAGTTGAGGTCATCGCCGCGGACTGCGCTTGGTGGTGGTCTCGCCCCCCGTACCGGGCTCTCCGCGATTCTATTCTTTTTGCGTACTCACACCAAGCTTCCACAAGGCTTTCTCTATAACTTGGTTGTTAGTTACCCAAGGCTGCAGGCGACCCAGCTTTTCTCCTCTCTCGCCCTGGTCGCACCATGCTGCAGAGGTGACTTGTGCAGACAAGATGGCTGCTGCACCATCGTCTCGTCCGTTTGAATATCTCGAGAGCCTTCCTGGCACGGTCTTCTTCAAGCTTTACCAGCAGCCATCAACCGCCCTCGCCATCTTCAGGCGCATGCTGCCTGACTTGGGTATGCCATCTACCCTTCTGGCCAAGGAGTGTGCCTCTTAGACTGATTTTGTGATTGTTATAGCAAAATGTTTTGTGATGGCCTTGCTGTACCTCAAGGATCCGCTCCCCGCGGCGGATCTGGAGGTCTGGGTGAAATCCGAGAGCTTAAAGTGAGTTTGCTATCTGTTTGGAGTACGTACGTTGGCTTGACTCTACCCAGTTTGCTAATAAAAAACGCCGGCGTGAAGGGAACGTGATAATGCGCTTTCGATTCTCGGCCGGTTACATATCTTGTCGAATACCGTCATCGCAAACAATGTGCGAGCGTACATGGTCACGAACCCGTTCGCTGCCTCGCTGCGACACGCCCTCACGGGGGCCGAGCAGACCCAGTCCTTTGGCGTTCTGGCCCACCCGCCCAACGCGGCGGCGGTCTCCATCGCCAACCTGGACGACTACGCGCGGCGGCAGTGGGAAGGCGTGCTGGGCTACATGGTGGGGACGAGCGGGCTCGGGATCCAGCGGGACGTCAACCTGAGCAAAGGGGTGAAACAGCTGCTGCAGGCGGGCCATCTAGTGGAGATCCGCGGCACGCGCGTGGACATCACCAAGGACGGGTTCGCGTTCGTGCTGCAGGACGTCAGCACGCAGGTGTGGCACATCCTGATCCTGTACGTGGAGAGTGCCGAGGCGATCGGCATGGACAGCGTGGAGGTGCTCTCGTTCGTCTTCCTGCTGAGCAGCCTTGAGCTGGGCCAGTCGTACGAGAAGCGCCACCTGACGGCGAACCAGCTGCGCACGCTCGCCGACCTGGCCGACTTCGGCATCGTCTACCAGGAGTCGCCCGAGGCGGCGCACTTCTACCCGACCCGGCTGGCGACGACGCTCACCTCGGACTCCAGCGCGCTGAGCAACCCCATCGCCGGCTCGCTGGCCGGCAATCCGACCGGCGATCCTTCCTCCTCTTCCGCCGCAAACAAAGCCGGCACGGGCTTCATCATCATCGAAACCAACTACCGGCTGTACGCCTACACCTCGTCGCCGCTGCAGATCAGCCTCATCGCCCTCTTCACCACCCTCAAGTACCGCTTCCCCAACCTGATCACCGGCAAGATCACCCGCCAGTCCATCCGCCGCGCCGTCGAGATGGGCATCACCGCCGACCAGATCATCTCCTACCTGTCCACCCACGCCCACCCACAGATGCGCAAGCACAACACCTCCCGCTCCACCTCCAATCAGGCCGGCATCCCCCAGTCCATTCTGCCCCCCACCGTTGTCGACCAGATCCGCCTCTGGCAGCTCGAGCGCGACCGCGTCCAGGCCACCGCCGGCTTCCTGTTCAAGGACTTCGTCAGCCTGGCCGAGTACGAGGCCCCCTGCCGCTATGCCGAGGAGATCGGCGTGCTCGTCTGGAAGTCGGACCGCAAGCGCATGTTCTTCGTGACCCGACACGAACAGGTGGCCGCTTTCTTACGGAGTCGGAAGTGAAAAAGGTTCTACATGAGTTTGTTAAAGGATGCTCATTTTGAGGGTGGTCTGGCGTTTCACGGCTTAAACGCTTTACTGTTGACGAGAGAAGATCTTATTGATGATCTGGTATCAGGGCTTATAGATAGGTACCGCGGGGAAATGTATCATAGGAGAAATATCTTGATGACTAGGAATCAAACAACATGCACACGAAGTAACGACCACCTTACTTTCCCTGGGTAAGTATCAAGAACTTTTAACGGGTAGTAAAGCACACTGAAAACAGAAAAAAAACACATTCCTCTATCTAGCACCAGCATCACCATAATCATCATGATCCGAACCATAAGAACAAAAACGCCTATTCTTACCAGACTCCTATAGTACAGTACAGCCCAGCCGAGAACTCCAACTCCCTCACCTCAAACCGAAGAAAAACCAGGTTCAATCCATCCACCGATCCCCAAACCTCACCACATACGCATCCCGGAACCTTCGCAAACTCCCACTCGCCTCGTCCGTCACACAGACATTCTCAAGCAGCATGAACGCCCGCTTGACGCGGGAATTCGGCAGATCCCCGTCGTCCGCGTCCGCGTCCGCGTTCGCATGTGCGTCCACCGCAGCAGCAGCAGCAGCAGCATCCGCCCCCGTCAGCGGCCGCTGGGGGTAGCTCGAGAGCATCCCCGGAGACCCGGTGGTTGCGTCAGGCTGCCGGAACGAATCCTCGTAGTGGAACGCATTGGTCAGGGTCACGAACCGGCCCAGCCAGTAGGCCGGTGGTCGGGCTTCCCAGACCTGGGCGAAGGACTTCGGGTCCGCGATGAGTTTAGGTTGGTTGAGGGATTTGACGATCGAGGGGAGGGAGGCGATGCGCGTGTGGGTGAAGCTGCGGCGCGGGGTTGTGGTGGTGGTGGTGGTGGCGGCTGGGGGAGCACGGATATGGGTGAGTAGCTGCTTTTTCGGTTCTCCTTGGGCGCGGTGGAGGGTGATTCTTCGGAGTGGTTGTTGGGGGTGCTGGGTTACGGTCACGGTGGGTTTGCGGTGGGCTGTTGTTGCGTTTGCTAGTGGTGGTCTTGCTGGTGGTCGTGCTGTTCTGGGAGCAGGAAGCCCAGCCCTAACGGAACCAGGTCTGTTGCCACTACCACTACCACTACTATCTTCCTTTTGGGTCTGTGTGCCTCGTAACCTCAGGGGTGATGATGATGGTAGCTGTGAAGGAGCAGGAGGAGGAGCCAGTTGTGAATTCCTTCGTATAGACTCTCTCTTCGGTCCTATCACAGATGATGAGAGCTGTGCAAGAGCAACAACGGGAGGACCCAGTTGCGAATTCCTTCGTAGAGGCGGCTCCTTTTTCGGTCCGATTGAGGATGATGGCGGCCGTGGAGCAGCAGCAGGAGGAGGAGGAGCGAGTTGCGAATTCCTTCTGAAAGACTCCCTCCTCGAACCTGCCGCGGGTGCAGGAGCAGGAGCAGGCGCAGGTGCTGCACGCAGCCCCGTCGATTCTCTCTTCGTCCTCGTCTGCTGCAGCTGCGGCTGCGGCTGCAATTGCTCTCTGTTACCCTGAGCGCGCAGATTCTCAAACTTGCTCGTCCATCGCACTCTTCTCGGCGGGGTGGGATTGATGCCCGACGCTCTTCGGGGTTCTTGCGCTGCTGTGGCCCTCGTCGCAGCCGTTGTTGCTGGTGGTGCGCCGACCATCTTGGACCGCGAGGATATCGTCCCTTCGAATAGTCGACTACGAGTATTGGTGGCGGCTGAAGGGAAGGATTTGCGCAGCAGAGTAGAGGAGGAAGTAGAAGGAGAGGCAGGAGGTCGGGCGAGGAGGCTTCCTGGTCGCGCTTTCCTTCGTTCTTCAGCTCCCATGTTCAGCGGCCTTCTCACTACTAAGCCCTGGGAGGTGGGAGTGAAAGTCTGGCCCTGCTCCTGCTGCTGTTCCTGCTGCGGCGGTTGTTGGCGATTATAGAGCCTAGCCCTCGTCGTCAGCCCATTCGAGCCCCTCATCGTACTTGCCCTCATCTCGTTGTCAGTGTCGTTCCACCACCAGATCCCATCCGAAGGTATTGTTGTTGTTCGTGATGGTAAAGATGTCAACAACACCTGCGTCGATAGACTGTCTCCCCAGGAATCCGAGGGGTAGCAGTAGCCGTAATCGTAGTCGTAGTCGTAAGTGCAGTCGCAGTCGCAGTCGCAGTCGCAGTAGCTGTGAGAACAACCCCTGCATGTAGATCCAGACACAGGTGCAGATTGCGAACAACCGCCGGCCCCACCCACATCTTTATGCATCTCATCGGCAGCCCCTTCGTCGTCGTTGCTGGGTCCTCTGTGCAGGAGCTTTCATCTTCTGGGGGGAGGTTCTCTTTGTCTGGGGACGCAGCTACCCGGCTGTGAAGATTCTTTGAGGATGTTGACGACGGGGCATAAATCCCCTGCCCCTTGGCGCGGTAGAGTCCTTTGTTTGAAGAAAGCATTGTTGGGTGACTTTGGCATTGTTTTGTTGCTGGAGCCGTTGGCGGCCGGATGTCTTCCGGCTGTGATCTGTGCGGTGGCGGAGGGTTGTGTGTTGTTTGCGTTTGCTGAGTAGAGTCAAAAGGATGGTTCGGTGGTTGCGTCTCTTGAGTGGTGGGGCGAGAGGTCTTGTTGCTGATGTGCTGTGGGGATCTGGTGGAGAGAAGGGAGCAAGGGGAGGAAGGGCAGGGGGTGATCCGTATCGTGTTGACGGTGCGCTGAAGGTCTGTCTGCGACGGCCATGTGGCTCTGGCCCAGACTCTTCTTGGAAGCTCTCGACTTGTGTGTCTCGAGATTCATCATTCGGTCTGCCGGTTAGAGGCCGCCTGGCTGGTGGCTGAGATAGTCTTCGAGGAGGACCGGATGTAGGCATCGTCAATCGCTGTGTTGGGATTGACTTCGGAGTCAGGGGTGGTGGCTCAATCTGCTCAAGTTCAGTTGTACTTGAGTTGAGAGGTTTTGTCCTGTCGCTGATCTTCAGATCAATGCCATGGTAACGCTTTGGTGCAGCTCGGTTGCTGATAGTGTGAAAATGGTTGCGAGGTCTTAACACTGCATTGATGTTTGACCCAACGCAACAATTCCATCAAACTGCAGGGACTGCAACCGAGTACATAAGCAAAAGCCAGAGAATGTGAATGCCGACTGGAAAGATGAAATCGAGATTAGGGTAAACAATTATCTTGAGTTAAGTCGTTTGAGGGCAGATTTTGCTAGTGTGTGAAGTAAAATTGTACTCTGTTAAGTATTCTATACAGATATCTGGCCAAGACCAGCCACCACTTTCAAGAGGGGAAGAATGGCATTCTCAGGCATCTCTAAGCACTAGAAAGCAGTTCGCTCACCAACCCTGCTGCTGCCAGTGTCTCCTCATCCTTGAAATGCTTTCCTACCAATTGCAATCCCACCGGCGCTCCCTCATATCTTTCCGCTCCGGCAACCTTCCATTTCATCCATTCCCGTTCGTCAACACCATTCGTCCGCGGTACATACTCCTTTTCTTCTTCTACCAACTCATCCTTTTCAACGAACAGCCCGCTTGGAAACACTACGGCTGGCTGATCTAGAATGTTCCAGATAGCCGTGTAATTCCAGTAGTGGCTCTCCCCGAGCACGGCAGCGACGCCAACATACGCAGGGCAGAGAATGAAGTCCACGCCGCGAGACCGCATCAAGGCTTGATATTCATCGCGGTAGACATCGCGTTGAGCATTCAGGGTCCAGGTCTCGGCGATAGTGAGGGGATTGGGGCTGCTGTAGGTAAAAGCCCACGAGGTCAGGGGGAGTGTGGGCTCGCCAGAGGCTGTGATCAGGCTACGTTGGAGGAGGGCTGCATCGGGATAGTACATTTTAGACTTTCGACTGTCAGTACAGAGCAGAAGAGCGGACTTAGGAGATGACCTCGAGGACAGGACTCACAATTATGTCCCAGCCATGGCCGTGTTTGTAGGGTTCCCAGTCCACGACCTTGATGCCGGCTGCTTCAAGCTTGGATTTGGCGTGTCTGAGTGCGCGGGTAACGGGGGGATGGGGATGGACGATCCTGAAGGTAGTGAGCGATAAGTAGTCTACTCTTGATGACTTTGGACGCGGACTTGTTTCCACCATGTGGCGGTGCGAGAGCTGAGACCCAAGCTACGAGGTAGGCTTACCCGTCATCCCACATGATTCCCACGGTCATATCCTTGGTAGGCTGCACTCGTCGCCAAGGTACCGGCGGAATCGAGGTTTCGATCTCCCATGGTTGTTGATCCAGGACAGCCTGCTGAAAGAGTTCGAGATCTGCCACACTCTGACTAGCAAGAGGGCCAACAACCCCGCGAATTGCTTCTTGGCCAGGTTCAGGCGCCTTGATGCCTGTCATTGGGTTGCGTAGGGCCGTCGGACGGAAACCATACGAACCACAGAATGCAGCAGGGCAGCGGATCGAGCCTCCAATATCTGTACCGATGCCCAGAGGGGCACATTTAAAGCCCGTTGAAGCGCCCTCGCCTCCCGAGGAGCCTCCGGGGCTGAGAGTGAGGTTGTATGGATTCAGCGTCGTGCCAGTCAGGTTGTTGCTACAGCAGAGATGCTGCCAGAGTCAGCTATGTTGTAACTCGATGAGAAGGGAGAGATACCATAAGGGATTGTGGTTGATTCGTGCGGACGTGGAAGATAGCCCCGGCTTTTTCAAGGCATTGAAGGAGTAGTGCATCCTCGGTTGCAGTGTCATTTACCCTTCAAATAGTCAGTCGTGAATGCCTTTTCCATTTCAACATGTTTAAATGTACCATGCTACATAGCCGCCGTTGCAGGTCAAATCTTTGATACCGATATGCTCTTTGACGCTGATGGGTACTCCGTGCTGTGACTGTCAGCTCCCTCTCTTATTTTGCAAATGAAATTATCCTACCAGGGGGCCAACCAACTTCCCAGTCTCCTTGAAGTGTCGATCTAGCTCTTTTGCTCGCGAAATAGCCTTCTCTGCCAGAAACTCCGTCGCGAAGTTGAGCTAGGACATCTAGTGTTAGTTGCTGGATTACTTTGACGGATAGACTTCGGCGGAACCGGTTATACGAACCAATTGGTGTCCGACCACGGCACGCTTCAGGAAAGCCGTCACCACCTCCTCTGCGGTAAGGTTTCCGGAGCCCATGTCGCGTACCAACTTTGTGGCGGACATCTCAGTGATGGCCAGCTCGTGCTCCGAGAACAGCCCACTCCTGCGCGGGAAGTCCTCTACGTTCTTTTCATCGGGCGAGGGCAATTTGTCTGCCGGGATGAGCCATTGTTGAGGGATGGAGCTAGAAAGGATATCTCGAGCCTTTTGAGCCTGAATCTCCCAGGGAAGTGTCATTTTGCAGGATAATGATGATGATGATGATGATGATGATGATGATGATGATGGCGGGGATTCAATTGAACAATCGAGAGGTGAACAGAAGCAAGGAGCAGGCACTTGGGTAAGTCAACTTTATAGTGTCGCGTCCAGCCACCAGCCCTCACACAACTAGCGCATAGCCGACATCATTGAGGGCTTGGAATCGGGCGGGATCGATACTTGACAGGCATATCCGAATCGGCATGCAATCCAATCACGGTGGCTCGCGGGGAAGCAAGAGGGGATGCTGTGCAAGCGGCGTGCAGATAGGCGATCAACCTCGGGTGGGGATGCGGTCTTTCTTATCTCCAAGCTATCGCGAGTACTTGCCTATTGTGGCGGAGTGGAGGGAAGTTCGATGAGTCTGTTCCATTGAAGTCTTCGACACGTCCTTGAATGGCACGCTTCTGTGCAGCCACAAAGTCTCTGCGAGATCTAAGAATCGTAGGAGACAGGTACTTTAAAGCTAGAACAACACAATGCCTTTGTTGTCTCACGGAATCAATTCCGCATGTCTGAGGGGTAAGAGATAAGATATTCCGACTTCTTATCGAAGTCTTATCGTTGAATGTCGATCTGTGAGGGGAAGAGCAGCCGGCGACGGAAGAAGAGTTGAGGAGAGAGAAGCAGAAAGCCTGAAGAGGAGAGATGACTAAACCGAGGTCAGATGACTGACTCTCACTGATTGTTCTTTCTAAATGTCTGTCCTTCTGGTTAACTACAATTTCCCTCCTCTCCCATCTCAGCGTCTCAACACCTCAACATTTTGGCCTCAGAATCTATCTATCCGCAGCAGGTCAATCCTGCACACATTGCTCCACATACGACTTGACATTTCTCTATGCCCTCTGTCGCTAGGCTGCTGATCGCTCCCGGATGTACCACCTCTGGCTGGATAGTGGTTGAATGAATTCCATATGCATGGAAACATTCATTGATCGTCTTGGTCAACCTCAAAAAGGCCGGGACCGAGCTGTCCGACACCATTACATGGACAGATGCTAGTGTTTTCTGCTGATTCAACTGCCAAATGTGAAGCTCATGAACCGACAACACGCCGGGGATCTAGCTTATAGTCAGCGCTGAAACAGTTACGCTTTCTCGAGACTCACCTTCTCCAGGTCATGCTTCACGTCTTCAGCATCGACTCCATTCGGTGCGCTCTGAAGTAAGATGAGACCGGCTCGTCGCACTAAAACAGTCAACACGAAAACTGACAGTGGTAGTCCTGGATGGACACACTAAGCGGGAACGAGGACAGGATGATCATGATAGAGATTCCCATAGTCGTTCCTGGATCAGCATAGTACCGACCCTCGTAATGGGTCAGCCAGATCACCAATGCCGCGGCCATTACTCCAAGGTTGTTGGCTGCGTCGCCGAGAACATGGACCAGAACCCCCATCATTCCCAGGTCGTGTGAATGAGCGACGGGCTGAGCTGTGTGTAGAACGTGTTTGTGATTGTCATGCTGGTGTATTCAACAGTCAGCATTGGTGTGAGCGTCAGGAATCGATAGCTTGCGCGACGGACCCCGGGACTTTCAGGCCTCTCTTGCCCATCGCTATCTTCTGTGCTTGACGCCGGGACTTCTATCATGGCTCGAGCTGGATGGTCATGATCATGTCCATGGTGGTGATGCTCTAACCTCTTGTTAATCATACCCCAAGTGCCAAAACGGTCAGAACACACCATGAAGAAAGGTCGCACTGATCAAATTGAGCCCTAGGCCGATAGAACCCATGATAAACATGAGTTTAGGATTCTCAACGCCTATCGACGGTCAGCTGAGGATCGGCCTTCCACCAAAAGACACCCACGCTCTATCGAGATAAATCGCTCAATGGACTGCAAAAAGACCGATATACCGAGCCCGAGCAGAAGGACCCCGTTGAAAAAGGCGCCCAGCAACTGGGCTCGCTGCCATCCGAAAGAGAGTACTTTGGGCGAGTCATCGGCCTCAGATACCTAGCATATGCTTCAGCAGCTTTCTTATTTTGTCTCAGTGCAAAAGTTCGCCTACCCTGAGCGCTAGGAAGGCAACAATGAAGGATACCAGGTCGCTCAACTGCAACCATCAGCAATCGTCTCTCGAAGGATCATCCCAGACGCACGTAATGGAATGCATCGGCCACCAAAGCCAGAGAATGTGTGTAAAAGCCAACTATGGTATCGGATGATTAGCGACAGTGAGCATTGATCTTAACGCCCGGTGTGACAGGAGAATAGGCACCTGAGATCTCCGACACAAAGAAGGCAGTGGAAATTGCAATGACGACCATTAAGCGCTGAGAGCGCGAGATTCTGGGTGACATGGCCCCCCTCTGTCCGGTGTAACAATGAGACGGACCACGAATGACGTGGTTGATAAAGGAGTCACGGCTGGTCGAGAACTCACCGGTCAAAGCCCTGCCCCTTACATGTCCATCTGCACCCACCCTACTGATTTTCCGTGGAACCAGGCTGAAATGTACAGATCACACGCGAGGAGAACTTCTGGAACAGCTCACAGGGTGGTCGTATAGGAAAGAAATGGGGGAAAACCCAGCAACGCTCTGCTGGCCACGCTGCTGCCTTTATATTCTCTCAGGCCTCGGGGCTTAGGGCGTTTGCATTGCAACAAACCGAATTCCAGTCACACATCACATGCAGCTCAAAATTGTCCGCACGGTTGACTCTTACCCCTGAGCTATACAGGGCGCGAGTGGATACTTATTGGTGTGGCTGACACTTCGGTACGTCTTTGGGAAAAGAAACCAAATTCATTAATTATTGAGGTGCTATTATATCTCATAACTATCCAACGATTCAAACCACCTAGGCCGCGATCTCGTCCGCCAGACCATCCAACTCTCTTTGCCAGTTTCTGTGCCGCGATATCTGCCAAACAAACCGGTCCAAAAATCCCTTGCTGTCCTTACCAATCTTTGACGACGGCTGCAGTAGCTCTGCTGGGGAACCATGGCCGGTGACCACACCGTAACTCTCCACCACCTCACCACTGGAGGCGTGCTTCACTGCGTCCAGGTAAATCTGCTTCCGAATGAAGTCCACCGCCTCATTGAGACCGGCAATTGGTTTCAGGTGGGCGAATGACTCGGTGATCCAATACTTGGCTATGCCGTTCTTGGTCAAGGCAGCAATGTGCTTGCCTCCGGGGACGAACACTGCATCGAACAGAGTTGACCGCATACCGGGGAAATGGTGATCTGGAACTACCTTCTCGCCCGACTCCGCCGTTACCCCCTGGCGCTGGGTGCCGATGGTGAAGACAAACGCTTTCTGCTTCTGCAGAGCCTCCTTCATCTTCATATATGAGTCGTAGTCGAATCCGTCCGCGATTAGGATGGCAATCCGACGAGTCGCAATCTGCGCGTCATCGGAGAGATACTCGAGCTGACTGAGTCCCTTGGATGTCTTACCCTCGTTCGGCTTACCGGCCTCGGTGGGTGTGTCGCCTCCGACATTCTTCGCCACGGTCTTGGCCAGCTCAAGGTCAACCACGGCCAAACGTTCAGACAAGCGCTTGTACACAATCTCCTCGTCGCAGTGATCCAGCTCGAACGAAAACGCCTTGGCAACGTGCTGCTTCTCAATGGGCGAAAGTGAGTTGTAGAAGAGCTGGGCTTGGTTGAAGTGTTCCTTGAACTTGTCCGATAGTCCACGTGTCTTGACGCCCTGCTGCTTCTCCGGATAGGTAGCGAATCCACCTTGGTCCGGCGCGGTAGGAGGATTGGTGCTGTACCTGTTGGGCCAGTAGTTCACCTTGCCTTTGGTGATGCGGTGTTTCATGGCGCCGTCCCGGTTGACGAGGTTCATGTACGGGCACACAGGGCGGTTGATCGGCAACTCCTCCCAGTTAGGGCCCAAGCGAGAGAGCTGGGTATCAAAGTAAGAGAAGTTTCTGCCCTGAAGCAGGGGGTCATTGGAGAAGTCGATACCGGGCACAATGTGGCTGGTGCAGAAGGCCACCTGCTCGGTTTGCGTGAAGTATTCGTCAATGTTACGGTTCAGCTCCAATTGTCCGATATACTGAATTGGCACCAGCTCCTCGGGCCAGATCTTCGTAGCATCTTCAATGTCGAACTCAAAGTCGTCCATCTTCTCTTCGGGGATAACCTGAATACCGAACTTCCATCTCGGGTATTGACCGGCGTCGATGGCATCCATGAGATCCTTGCGATGGAAATCAGGATCCTGGCCAGCAATCTTCAGGGCTTCATCCCACACCAGGGAGTGAACACCGAGCTCGGGTGTGAAGTGAAACTTGACATAGTGGCGCTGTCCTTGTGCATTGACGAGACAGAAAGTGTTGACACCGAAGCCCTGCATCATCCGGTACGACCGGGGAATCGCACGATCGGACATGACCTAAACCCATTATAAGTACTGGTTCACAGTTACACAAATACAACCAAATGCCACTTACCCATTGCTGCATATGCGTGGTCTCCGGATGGAGATACTGGAAGTCCCAGAAGTTGTTATGAGCCGACTGTCCCTGGGGAATCTCATTGTGCGGCTCAGGCTTGACGGCGTGGATAACATCGGGAAACTTGATCGCGTCCTGGATGAAGAAGACGGGCATGTTGTTGCCGACGATATCCCAGTTCCCCTCGGCGGTATACATCTTCACGGCGAACCCGCGCACATCCCGAACGGTGTCCGCACTCCCCTTACTACCCTGCACGGTCGAGAACCGCACGAACACCGGCGTCTCGCGGGATGTGTCCGTCAATACCCCAGCCGTAGTGAGCTCGGGGATGGCCTTGTGCAGCGTGAAGGTGCCAAAGGCGCCAGCGCCTCGGGCATGAACCACACGTTCGGGGATACGCTCATGGTCGAAGCGCATGATCTGTAACATCCATTAGCAGAAGTCCTTTCTACACAGACAGACAACAGTTTTCAATGATAAACCCACCTTCTCCCTAGCAATAGGATCCTCCAACAACGAAGGCCCCGTCCTCTTCGCATCCCCCACCCGAAGCCAATGATCCGGGTCGGCGATCTTGATCCCATAATCCGTCGTCATGGGCAGCTTGCCCTGACTCTCCCCGGAGAGGTCGACGGTATCGCGCGCGAGATCTTCTTGCTTGGACATGTTGGGTTCTTGGTCGGTGTGTAATTATGTGTGTGTGGTATTAATGATCTCTCCCTCACTCGTACCTAAGTACCCTTTATATAAACCCTCAGAACCATCCTGCCTTCAGCCCTACAGCCCCCTTCCACGGACCACTCCCATCCCCCCATTTCTAATCACCGTTACTCAGCTCCTGCATCTAGCCCAATACTATTGACCAGGAGGAACACAGATGATGCAAGAGTTTCCATTTAGAGTGTCGATCGCCCAGTCATGTTTCTCTGTTGGGAAGTCCCGACTCCCAAGCACCAAGGTCCCATCGACATCCACGAACTTCCAGCAAGTTTGTTCGGGGGTAGTCGGCCAGTTCGGGTCAGGGTCAGGGCCATGACGTCAGTCAGGTACCCGCCCAAACCGGTTTGATACTCGGGTACTATGTAAGTAGCATTTCGCATTTCCGAGGGGTGTAAAGCTTGATTCTGCTTATTACTGGTTTCATTCGAGTAGCATAGTCTGGTTTAGACTACGAGTAAACAAATTCGCTGCATGATCTAGTTTCTTCTAGTATCTCGAGGGGGGACTGGGGGTCTTTTCTCCGAGGATGGAGATGGGATGACGTCATTGGAATTGGAACAGTCAGATAGGAATGTAATGAGCACGTGAGCAGATACCGGTACACATTTGTTTTCTGCTGATGTGTCTTGGTTCCGAGGATGTACGTGGTTGGGGAGTTCTGACATGTACTGTAGGTAGGGTTGTTCGATCTCCTTAAGTACAGTACTTATGAAGGATGGTTGGTTTATAGGATTGACTCGGTAGTAACCTATAGTACTGTATGTACCGCAGTACAATTCCTCTGTAAGCAAGCAGCTGGCAGGCACCGCGTGATCGACACTACCTTATGTTATTCGAATGAACCACCCAATTGAGTGTCCGAGATTGCAAATGACGTTCCACAGTGCCCAAGGCATGAGTATTCATGGTGCCTGAGGCCTGAGTAGATAGGTATCTAAGAGCATGCATTCTATTCTATTCTGTACAGTACACAGAAGCACCAGCTAAGAACCATCACTCATCATGCAAGCAGACCCTGACTGAGCTGTTGACCAATTCTATCCTCGCGTACTCGGGATATCCCATCCCATCTTATCCCATCTATCATGTCCTACCACCACACCCATATCTACCATCCGCGATAGCCGTAATACCCGCGCAATCCAGCTCTAGACATCTAAGACTCTAGACCATCCACTCACCCTCACCCTCACCCTCACCCTCACCCTCATCTTCATACCTCAAGAGCAAGAGGATTTACATATTATCCTCCGCCCAATGACCCCTCCCCTTCAAAAACTCCTCCCTCTCCTTCGCCTTCTCCTTGGCATCAGCACTACCACCACCACCATCCTTGACTCCGCCAGCCGGAGAGGCCAACCCCCGCTCCACCCACTGCTTACTCTCCATCTCCGCGAGACGGCTCAGGGCGCGCGCAAAGGCGAAGCGCTCCTCATCGCCCGAGAAGATGGAGGTGGTCTTGAGGGCCTGCATGGACAGGCCTAAATCGTCCATCATCATGCGCATCGCGTCCGAGAGGTCGGAGTGGTCGTCGCCGGATCGGTCGGAGAGGGTGGTGCGGACGTCGGACTCGGAGAGGAAGAGGTTGGTGAGCGGGGTGGCGGTTGTGAGGACGAGTTTAGCCTTGATCCAGAAAAATTAGTACTGAGGTTGTCGACGAGACCGGGGGGGGGATGACTCACCCGACTCTCATACACCGCATCGATGAACGTGATGAACCGTCGCGCCAGATCCCGCTGGTTCAGATTCATGCCCGGCACGTCCGTGATGATGAACGCCTCGTAGTTGCGGACCAGCTCCAGGTAGTCCGCCGCGCCCGTGGCGGTCCCGATCAGCTGCTGGAAGGAGAAGCGCGCCGCCTTGCCGCTGGCCAGCGGCACCGCGATCTTGCGGCCCCAGACCTCCTGCGTGGTCGGGTGCGGCGGGTCGTGCGTGAAGTCGCCCAGGTACTCGAACCACTTCTGCGCGTGGGCGTCGGCCGCCGGGCCGAGCGGGTGGTGGTAGACGGCCGCCGGCGGGCGCGGGATCTTGCGGTAGTCCGTCGGCGAGTTGAGGTTGATCACCTGCAGGGCGGTCTTGAGGAGGTTGATGCAGGGGATGAAGGAGTCGCGCTGGATGCCGTTCTTGTAGAGGTCGTCCGGGTGGCGGTTGGAGGTGGTGACAAGCACGACGCCGTGGGCCATGAGGTGTTCGAGGAGTCTTTTGGGAGATAGTTGTTTAGTTTTCTGAGAATTGCTCTTGCCACGGGAACCATGTAGGTGTCTTCTCACCTCCGCAAAATCATCGCGTCCGCCACATCAGTACACTGGAACTCATCGAAGCACAACACGCTCGACCGCGCCGCAATGTCCGCCGCCACGATCGGGAGCCCGTCGAAATCATGGCCGTACTTCATCTTGACCACGTGCATGCGCTTGTGCACGTCCTGCATGAAATTGTGGAAGTGGATGCGGTTTTTCGCCCGGATGTTGTCCGGCAGGGTCTCGAAGAACAGGTCCATCAGCATCGTCTTGCCGCACCCGACATCGCCGTACATATACAGGCCCTTGGGCAGGGACTCGGGAATCGTCAGCTCCGACTTCGCGCTGTCGTTGTTGCGCCCGAAGAGCGAGCCGAAGAACGAGGACGACTTGGGTTTGGGGTCGAGGGATTCCGGGCTCGGGTGCACCACCGCGGGCGGGTGGTAGGAGGTTAGGCGCTCGTAGAGATCTTGGAGCTTCTCGATGATTTCTGGTTCGAAGCAACAAGTTCGTGTTAGCGACATATCCCCGCTGGTGTTGCTTCACGCCCGGAAGGTAAAGGAGACACTTACGTCGCTGATAAGGATCATCCCGCAGGCGACTCTCCTGCACTCTCACATCATACTCGGCCAACGGACCCCCGCACAGCCCAGCCGCACCCGGGGAGCCACAAGAAGAGGTTTCGCCCTTCTCCTGAACTGCCGTCGCGAATCTCCGCGCAAACTGACCCTGAACCCGTCTCAGGTCAACAGGGCCAGAACCGTCACAAACCCGCACGTGCGTCGACGGACGCACAGCCCGGAAATCATGATGCAAGCCCCGACGAGTGTCGCGAGAACATGCTCGACGGACTCCTCCTCCTTCCCGCGGAGCAGGTGCGGCACGACGCAGGACAGAGCCCCGGGCCCGCAATGCGCTGGGCAAGTAGTCCGCGCAGACTTTCGCCGACGAGCCGCTCATGGGTGCAGAAACCGTAAGCAGAAAGAAGAATGGAAAGAAAGAAAATCTCAAAGGCCCTGGGTAGCGATCGTCAAGCGCATGTAAGCAGTGCAAAACCGGTGGAAAGCGCTTCTTCACTCCGTTTCGACCGAGGTTGCCCGGTCGGTAAATAATCGGCGAAGAGGGACAAAAAGCGGGGACGAAAGGATCGCAGTCGGAACAGTGGACGGAGGATTCAGGACACGCGATAAGAGACAAGCCGTGGAAGGAGCGATATGTACAGTATAGTCCACTTCGAGAGTCGTGACAAAATAGAGAAAAGAGAGACAAAACATAGCGCAAAATTGAGAAGTACGACCAACCAACACATGGATTCCCACGAAAAGCCAAGGGGATTGACCTCGTTCCGATGCTCGTCATGTGATCTGGTTCTCGGCAATTGTTCCGATGCTGACGTAAGTAAAACCTGCGGAGACGGAAATTGTCCCGTGGTTGATGCTGGTCTTTCTACACTGCCATGGATTGAATACTAAGGTAGGTGGATGGTTGATACTAGGTACTTTAAGTACATAAAAGTAAAAATGAAGTAGGTATCCACCTACAGTCGCTGAGATTATATGCAGAAGAGGGCTTATGTACACGGAACAACAGCGCACGCAGAACAGGGTATGGAGGACACAATCAGCCATGGCCTGGTGGACAAAGGAAAATTCAAAGAGGGTACATGATGGCATAAACGTTTCAGACATGTCATTTTGTCATCGTATCAACCTCGTGACTCAGAACAACAACACTCGCTCAGAGGCTGATGACCAAGGGGCAGAAAGAGAAGGACACCATAACACCAGTACACCCGCAACAGAACATGTTAGGGGCGAGGGCAAACGGAAAGGAAAGAACAGACAGGTCTATAAGAGATAAGAGAGGATCACCGCTTCTATGCAATTCCGACATATAGTGTGAGTTTGGAGTTTCGTGAGATCGCCGTGTCAAGGTCGGCGTCATTGGCCAAGTCGACATACGTGCCGGATGGCTCATCCTTATACTGGACGACGATTTCGTCTTGAATCTTCAGACGGTCAATCAGCTTCTCCTTCAGCTGCTGGAGACTGATATCACTAGGGACCCGGATGGCGATCAAGTCATCCTGGAAGAACACTTTAACCTTCATAGCGCCGCTGCTAGAGGTGGTAGAAACTTGGGTAATCGAACTAGGTTGGCGGTTCATGGGAGGCGGGTTGCCGTTGCCCAGAGACAGCGACGGCTGCCCCCGTTGGTGAGAGTTGCGATCAGTGTGCACGGCGATCGGAGCTTGCGAGGACTGCCGCGAGACGCTGCGCGAGGGCTCGTGCGTCGACGAATGGTGCGAGCCACCAGAGAACCGTGCGTCCTCGCCAAATGCGCTCGGATCAATCTCAAAGTCCCCAGCGCGGGGCGCGAATAATTGGCGGACCAGTTGGCAGCGGGAAATGTGAGGAGGCATGGCCAGCAATTTCTTAATGTATTCATCCAAATTCTGAC